TATGCGTTGATGTTAATATATTGGGAATTAGGTCTTGGATTTTGTGGTGCTGAAATGGTGGTCAACATTGTTGTTTACTTAGTAGTCTTTAGGTGGTCTTAACTTATGTAAGCAATGACTTATGGTTTTTGAGTTAGTGGTTAGTATATTGATTTGAGGAGAAAGTTTCGAATGCTACTGACAAAATATATTTTTGTAAGGAAGTTGTATAATTTGTGTTGTGGCCGTAGGATTTTTATATTTTTGTAAGGTAGATAACTTATTGAAATTGATGGAGTTTATTGAAGTATATTGTCTATTCGATTTATATTCTTATTGTGTTACTACTGTGCATAAATGTGAAGTAGTGTCTTTTGGGATTGACGTTTTCTTCTCCGTATAAGTATTACATTAGTGTTAAAAATACATATTTAATTTTGTTTGGGTTGTTGAATAAATAGTGTAATGGTTTTTGGTTAAATGGTTAGGGGGCTGTATTTTGAGTAATATTTTACTATGTGCCAAATATTCAGACAACTGTTGAAAGCACTTGAACTTATTGTTGTTCGGATCAGTTTGGGTTCCTTTTTATTTATTAAATATTTTTATGTGTAAAAAGTTTAGTTGTTCACTAAAACACATTTTATTGATAAATATTTGTGATAAAATAGAGTTATAAAATAATTTATTTTTTAATATTAAAAATGAAAAGAAGATATTCTATCTTAAATTTAGAGTACGGAATATATATATTATGTTTTAATAAATCTGTTTTCTAATCATATGAATTAAAATTGTCATAAAATATAGATATAGTTATAGTTTTTGGTATAAAATCGAATAAACTGAAAACCGCTAATAGATAAACCAAACCAAATCAAAGTAGATATGATATTAATATGATAGTTAATTTTTATAAACTGAAATACCAAAAAACCAAAGTGAAACCGAACCAACATCCAGATTGAACACTCCTTGTTTGTCTTCTTTTTGGAAACAAAACATTTTGTTTATCACTCTATTGATTTTACTTGTGTATTCCTTAATTTATTTATTTTGTGGTTTATATGTTTATTTCATGATCAGTTCACTATCCCATTATGTGTCATATTTTATTATGATATTTATTTATATTTTGGTATCCCAGATCTCTAATTATAATTTTATAATTATATTGTTATTGTAGGTATTTTCACGGTTGTGGCAAAATATTTCTTTTATGTTGTTGTTTTACATTTTAAAAGTAATTATGTAATGTGAAATAATGCTTTACTACCTTTAATTTGTATATTCTTTTGATTAAGTTTGTATTGTCAACTGAATTATTTTTTGGGTACCATTTTCATTGTAAACACAAAGAGTTTTATTTTTGTATTAGTATAGCTTGTATTATCATTTTGTACTATTTTTTGTGAAGAGAAAAAAAAACAATGGAAATATTAGTAAGTTAGTAGAACTTTAAATTAAATGTTGAATAAATGTTTTTTTTTTTAAATTACATAACTGTTTGAAGATAAATATCATGTTAGATTAATTAATTCAATTTGTCATTGACTGGTATTTTTATTACAAATATACTGTATATACTTTTTGCCGACATGTAAACTTATGTTAATATATGTAAGTTTATTTCCAATTCATTTAATTATAATTTTCTATATTGTATAAGTTAATTTTTTTTTTTGGTGAAATTTGAAGTCTCATGTTCGTATTGAGTAAAGAAAAGAACCAGACGTTCTGAATTTTTCAAAGTACATAGGTATCAAAACAGCGTCTTAAGCCAACTTTTCTTCTAAACTAAAATACAATCTTAGACCCATCCATTCAGGATCAGAAAAAACCAGACTTGTCTATTCGAGTTTATAGAAAGTGAGTTGTACAACCGGACCTCAACCCAGCACTATTTATCACCAGTAGGAACAGTTGCTTGAGAAGAAGGTTTAACTGTTTCTTTTCCTTCCAACGCACTGAGTATTCTTCATTTCCTGCAGAACAAAACTTTATTAGTGTGCAAGATATTTCTTAAATCCTCTAAGCAACCTGTTTGTCGATATTTTAGACAGTGTTATCTTGAAGAACAAAGCATACCTTCTGACTTTTACGATGAGTAACACCATTACTCAAACAGTTTATGCATCAGCATCTATTCTTCCACCTAAAAAGGTCATCAGTTAAACGATCTGCACTTGGTAATGGCAAACTAAACTCATCAAAAGAGTTTGTTTGATCATAATACCATGAGTTTATAGAGTTCTTGTGACAAGGTCTTTATGAGCTTCCTTGAGTAAGCCATCAATCATGCTTCTCCAAGTGCCTATTTTGACAATTCAAAAACAAATTAGTTTAACACCTTACATATCCTCGCAAAGCTATACACATCTATACTATTTAAAGCCTTTTAGTATGGCCAGGGAAACTTAATTTTCTCTTTGTATTTTAGTCCAAAAACAGAAAAACTTGTTCTGAATGCTCATAATTCAATGGATCAGTAATGTGAGATAAAAACTTTATTATATTAAGTTCCTTTACCTCAGATCAAAGCAATCATGCAGTATTAGATTCTCAAGCACATTACTACTGTCTTCATGGAAAACTTGAATCTACAACAAAACTTGACAACATAATAATTACCAAGGATATCATTATAAATACTAATTTTCTCAGACAACATGAATCTCAAGAAACTCAATCGATTCCAGTTAGATTCATGTACCTTAGTTAATGTAAACCTAGCAATAAGCATCCAAAATAATTTTGTAAAACATACAGAGATGGCACAAGTGAAGTCAGAAGAGATACCATTGTTTCAAAACGTATGAGTGATGTAAAGTCATATTGGGGTTGCTTCCTCCGAACGATGAACAGAACTGTGCACACAGTAGTGTAAGCATAAGCAAACATGAGAGGACAACAAAAACAAAAAAGCTTCACAGTGGGGAAAATATTACCAGATCCAATCTTCTTCTCTACGAACAGATGCTCACATTTACATGGACGGACTTCTCAGCCGACTATGGTGGATGGATCCACAACGACCGGCTTCATTTATATACTTTAAACATTTATTGGATTCACTGGTTACATAATCGAATCGAATCGTCAGAAGGATTCGCCGGTGAAGATGATGTTCAGAGAAAGGCTTACTCCTTTATAGAGAAAGAAACACCAGTTTGAAGATGGATGAGTATCAATGAATACGTCATCGTGGTTGGAAGTGTAAATAACTCTTTAATGATGTTGAATCAATGAATTTGTAACGCTTGTGAGAAGAAGAATTACGAAACGAAGGCAATAGACCTAAGCAGATTTGCAAAGATGGTGAACCCTTACGGCCGATACAGTGTAGAAAGAGAAGGCGACTAACGTTATGTAATTAATTTAGTTTGGCCCACATAATCTAACCCAACAAAATAATACCCATCTAAGCCCATTACAAAAGCTCGAAGGTTTTAATGTTAGGGAGACACGTGTTTTTTTTTGCCCTACCTTCTAATGCTGATGTGTACCCTCTAAGAAGGGAGAAAACCTTGTTTTATTGTATAAGATATCTGATACAAAATTATACAAAAAATAAAACACCCTGCGCGTAGACCCCTAGTTAGATAAAAAAAAAGAGTGACTATCATTTTCACATTCAAAATAATTATACCATCTTACATATTAATTGCAGTTAACAAAAACAATAAAAATAAGGATGGGAAAACTGAAGACATAGTTTTAACTACATAATGTTTTGATGCATTGTATAGTGCATTTTTTACACTTTTAAATGATTGAGCTTTTTATAAGTATGCATTTTCCATTAAGTTGAGTGATGCAACAGAAGATAAACATTGAACAAGATTGTACATCTAAGAAAGTTTAAAATTTAAGAAATAGACTTAGATTTATCAAATAAATAAAATATATTTTTATTTAAAACTACGTTATACTATATAAAAAGACGTGTGCTATTGTACTATATATTATATGCTATCAATATTGAAACAAATAGTATAGACTACTATATTTTAAGCATATTTAATTATTAAATGAGTTAAACATCTGAGTTAATTTTAAATAAAAATACCAAATCATATATATAAGAAGCATAAATACAGACAAAATAAACTTTGAATTTTATAAAATATCACAAACTGAAAATTCTAACAGCAGAAGTATTATAAATTTATTGAATTTTAAATAGAATACTACATACATGTCATAACTATATAAAATATAACAGACCTCAATATAATATGCATGTTTTTATTTACCGTTGCTTACATATTCAAATAAATATGCATTTGTTTAAAAAATCGAGTGATGGCATGTAAAGAAAACTTATGTTCTTTTCAGTAAGATCAAAATCTCATTTAATTATTTTATACATGTTTGACACAAGGTTTTTGGTGACAGGACGTGGAGATAATGAAAGAGGAAAATCTCAAAATTGAGAATAAAAACCATGTGGTTGTTTTCCAGTGGGCTAAATTGATAACTAATACATAAAATCTATATTATAATGAGACAGTTTCTCATTTCTGAGAATGTCTATCTCAGGATATGTGGGTTCTACATAAAAATTTATGTTTTGAGTTTGTGACAACAAGCATTGTAATGAATCCCAATCAATTTAAGATATATTGAGGAGAGCCCAATAGAAAAATGTCAGTCTATATTACGAAAACATGGCGTTTAATGTTGGATGCGACTAGGTTAGAATAACTCTCTGAAACGTTAAATTAAGTGTGTTTACCATTTAACTTTCTATTTCTCATGTCTCTCAATCTCCCCCTCTTTCTCACCTTCAGTGAAGAGTTTACACTCTAAGCTTCTGTCATCAGTGTACCAATAATATCAAGCTCTTTATCGTTCTCAATCTCTCTCTATCTCCTTCTCTTGACAATTTACACCTCAAACATTTATAAACGAAACACTCTAGAATCTCTTAAATTCGTCTAGAACGGATTATGTTTCGTTTATAAATGAAATGGGTAGACCGAATTTACTGATAGCTTTTAAATTTGCAGGAGCAGAAGATGGAATTGGTGTCGGATTTGGCGGGATTTCGTGGGACACATAAAGAACTATTTCGAGGGTATTTTGGCTAGTACAAAATGTTGGGGTCAAAATCGGTACGACGGAATTAATAGCCAAAACTCTCCGCAAGAATACAAAAAGAACAGTTTTATAAAGCCTGAGAATCGTTTTATAAAACTCGAGAAATCATTTTATAAAACTCGAGAATCGTCTTATAAAACTCGAGAATCGTTTTATAAAACTCGAGAATCGTTTATAAAACTCGAGAAATCGTTTTATAAAACTCGAGAATCGTTTTATAGAACTCGAGAAATCGTTTTATAAAACTCGAGAAATCGTTTTATAAAACTCGAGAAATCGTTTTATAAAACTCGAGAATCATTTTATAAAACTCGAGAATCGTTTTATAAAACTCGAGAATCGTTTTATAAAACTCGAGAAATCGTTTTATGAAACTCGAGAAATCGTTTTATAAAACTCGAGAATCGTTTTATAAAACTCGAGAGTCGTTTTATAAAACTCGAGAGTCGTTTTATAAAACTCGAGAAATCGTTTTATAAAACTCGAGAAATCATTTTATAAAACTCGAGAATCATTTTATAAAACTCGAGAATCGTTTTATAAAACTCGAGAATCGTTTTATGAAACTCGAGAAATCGTTTTATAAAACTCGAGAATCGTTTTATAAAACTCGAGAATCGTTTTATAAAACTCGAGAATCGTTTTATAAAACTCGAGAATCGTTTTATAAAACTCGAGAAATCGTTTTATAAAAATCGAGAATTGTTTTATAAAACTCGAGAAATCGTTTTATAAAACTCGAAGATCGTTTTATAAAACTCGAAGATCGTTTTATAAAACTCGAAGGTCGTTTTATGAAATCCGAAGATCGTTTTATAAAACTCGAGAATCGTTTTACAAAACCGCAAAAAACCGAAAAAGCCGTAAAACGCGAACTAGTCGCAACTCTCTAGTTCGCCCATCGGCGAACTAAGCCGGGCCCGGCTTAGTTCGCCGATGGCTGAACTAAGATTCACTCTCTAGTTCGCCCATCGGCGAACTAAGCCGGGCCCGGCTTAGTTCGCCGATGGGCGAACTAGAGACTTCCCGGACACTCCGCATCTCGATTTCCCGCATTCCCGATTCGAAACTTACGTCTTTCGACAAAGTCGCATTCTAAACCACGGCCGAAATATCTCCCGTTCCATCTCGATCCGACTTACCGTTCGAGTTTTACGATAAAAACCGTAAAACTTCGTTTTCTCGGAAAGAACTCGAGGAAATCGTATAAAACGGCAACGGTTAAACGAAACACCGAACATTGCCTAAACTA